GCCAATCTTCATTTAGTATCAAAACGAACCCCATATTCTTTCGCAATCATTCTATCACGTACCTCCATCTCAATCAATTTCTAGACTATAGAGATATACACAAGGATATCACATAAAAATTATATCTGAAAGCAATTATCAAATCTCAAATACACTAGATCTGGGTCAAAATTGTTAGAACACATCTATTTTTTTTAATGACGGTATAATATTTTAATGTGTTTATATTAAATTTATATTTATATTTTTAAAATAATTACAGATCTAATAAATATTTTAATGATGGTATAATATATATATTTAAATTAAAATTTTATTTATTTATTTATTAGTCTTTTTTAAGATGCAACATATTATTAAATCTATTATTATCTTAATAAATATTATCTTAATTTTATTAATTCTATTATTATTACATTAACAAATAATTATTTAAAATTATTTCATATTTTAAAATTAATTTAATTCTTTATTTTAATTAGAGAATAATTATAAAAGTTTATTCATATAATAATAATAGAAATATTTTATAATCTTTCTTGCTGTAATTATATTTAATATAGTAATTTTTTTTATTATATTGATATATTTTTATATTTTAAAATAAATTAATTGAATAAAAATAAAATAAACTCGTGCAATGCACATGCATATTTACTAGTTTATATGTATAGGTGAAATGTAAATATTAATTATAAACTGAATAAGAAGACAACATAACAAAATGATCAATAGAGTTGGTCAGCCTCATCGGAAAACTAACAACATAGACATTTAAAAATTATAAGACAAACCAAAAAAACAAAAAGGATCAATATACAAGGTAGCATGCATGTCCAAATTGATCCATAAAAGAAAAATTAAAAAAGGATAATTTAGTCATATATATATATATATATATATATATATAGAGGAATAAGTCACATTATTAATTTAAATTTTAAATTTTTTATACTTAATCTGTACTCTTTATTTAATTTATATTTAATAGTTGATGAAGTAATAAATTATAACTCATGAAATATAAGTTAAATAAAAAGTAAGTTATTTGGAAAAAGGAAAATTTTCTAAGTTATAAACCTTCCTACCATACTTTTTGTGGTAGGAAATAGATTACGTTCTTTTAAAAAAAACACACCTCATAGTTTAGTGGCATAGACATAGCCTTTAATTTAAAAATCAAAGAGAATCATAAGTCTCTTTACCATGATGAGTTAAGACACTGTAAAAATCTAAGTTCAAAACTTGTCAAATAAACTACTTTTCAACTCATTTCTATCAAGACCAGGAAAGAGCCTTATTCTTTGTTGAATGCTACATTTGAGAGGATTTGGAGAATTGCATAAAGTCTCACCAAGAAGACTATATTTTAAGTAGTTGTGACAAAACATGAAGAGGCCTATTTTTGGTCGAAAAGAGGGTGGTCTTTCAAAGAATTTCTGAGGATTTTCTGGTCTTTGAACTAAAAATAACCAAAACTGGTCAAAAAGTGAGAATTGACAAAGAAAATATTTAAGTCCACGAAACTGAATGAAATATCAGATTTCTCTTAGAATTGCTAAAAAAATAGGAATTGATAGGAAAACATTCTAAGTCTACAAGATTGAATGAGATCTCAAATTTTCTTTAGAATTGGTCGAAAAGTAAGAACTGACAGAAAACTTATCCTAAGTCCATAAGGACTAAATAAGCTCTTAGATTTTTCTCAGAAATAGGAACTAATAGGAAAATTATTCTAAGTTCACAAAATTAAATGAACTCTCAAATTTTCTTTAGAAATTGCTCAAAAAAGAGGAACTCACAGGAAAAACATTCTAGGTTCATAAGAGATATGATTGGGCTCAAAAAGTGATATAGAAAGAGTTACAAAGTTCAAAGCAATTATCAGCAGTTACCATCAGTGGAAGGTTCAAGACACGAAGATGAATCATGGGCGACAACAATTATGGAAGAACCCGCAACTGTCAGCGTAATCATAAGCAATCGTGGATAATGGGCAGCAACGATTGAGACTCACGATGGTTGTTGTTCATTGCTGAGAGTTGTACTTTTATATTCCTGCACATTTACGTTACTGCATTTTAATTCCAATCTGTTTGTTTCCAGTTCATTTACGTTGTTGCAACTTAGATCACGTACAATTTGCTTCTGTAATCTTTTTATATTTAGTTCAATACTGGTCTTATCACTCTATTATTGTTCCTGGTCAATTATATTCAATCTTTCTAATCATAGCACACTTAAAAGAATATAAAGAGGACTTAAAATCTAGTTCTCAAATTTTTTTTAGATTTATTTGTTTAAACACAAGTATAAATTTTTTTAGATTTATACTAATATAAAAAATTATGTTTTTATATATATACTTCTAAAATTAGGGAATACATTTTAATCATTCTATCATTTTGAGTAACAAAAAATTTTGGTTGTTAACAAATTCATAAACTAAGTCCATTAAACAAATCACCTTTTAAAGAATTATCATCTGTATTAAAGTAAATAAAAAATGGTTAAGTATCTCCTTAATTTTTATCCGACTAATCGTGTGCTCTCATATGGCCTGATTTATTTTAAATTTGTTTAAAATAAAACAAGATATTTTGTTTATATAAGATTTTTAAAAAAATTTAACGAATTAATCATTCTGTATCTTTTATAAGAAAGATGTTTTTTCTATAGATTAACACAATAAAAAGAAAATTTATGAAATGGTATTCGATATTTACAAAGGCTATATATGTTCTTTAAACAATGCAAGGACAAACGTTACAAAAATACCTCGCATTTTCATAATTATGAACATTTATTTACATTTCCATGCTCTCTCTCTCTCTCTATCTATCTATATAATTGATTATAAAATTGATTATAACAAAAGTGACTATAATCAATTTTATAGGTATCTTGGACTTTTTTCATATGTGTAAATATATTTTTTGTATTCTTTTGTGCTTCAACTAAAGCATTGGAAAACACCGTTAAATAATATAAAAAACTACATTGATAGGATGCCTGAAAATTAATGTATTTATTATTTAGATTTGAAGATTGATATGTCATTAATTTTTGCTAATGTATCATTGACTGTACTTTTCATTGTATTTACATTTTAAAATTAAATATAAATACAAATATTCATATTAAATTATAAATGACTATAATTTTAACCCAATTAAATTATAACTCAATTGTGTCACATCTGGTAAATTTCGCAGAACATTTCCTAATGTGTAAAGAAATAAGTCTTCAATCTGCTCTCACCTGGAATCAATTCCAAGGAGATATATAAAATGAATTTTCAAAATTAGAATTGATTATGATAGTAACTTGTTTGAATACTTTTTTCTTAGAGATTCTTCGTTGAGAATGACTTGGAACGTTTTTGTTTTGGTAAATAGCTTGACATGCATTTCTCTATCATGAATTATGACAATCTATAAAGACAGGTGAACTCGAAATTAATGCGTGGCTAAGGAAGTCCACACATTATTACAGATTCAAATAGAAGCATCGATCAGTCAAGACCATTGGGAACATGAATATTAAAGGCTGCATTGTGAAAATCATTACATCTGCAGATAATACATTTTAACAAACCTTGATGTGTATTAATTTAGATAGAAAATTTATGAATATTAATGTGTTAGGTATATGTTTATTTTAATTATACCATTAATTTTCAGATAATCAATTTTCATCCATTGATAACATTCATCCCAAGCCTTTAAGTACTAGAAAATTTTTGTTATTTTTGGGTTAAATAAAGTCCTAGTTTTACACGTGTCAGAAACTGTTTTCAACAATTTTTTTTTCAACGCTGATAATAATGCCAAAAAATAATGAAATTATGAGCATGTTCGTTTCTCTTTTTAAAAATCAAAACAAACATGTTTTATTTTGACAAATTTTTTTTGCTATTACATTGACAGTTTTTAATGGTCAAGTATTATATATATATATATATATATATATATATATATATATATATATTCTAGAACAAATGAAGACAATATTTTTAACAAATTTTGAATTATAAAAACAAACATATTGCTTGTGGCAGTTTTAATCCCCATAAACTTTTAAAGGCATTTTCAACAACCTTTACAATTACGTTTATGATAATTTCTAAATTATAATAAATTTATTATTTGAAGCCTTTATAATCTATACTTGACCCAAAATTAGCTTTAACAATTCAAGATTTCTTTCAATTTAATATTATCATTTCAATCACGATATTATTTTTTTCATTAGAACGTGTAACATCAATAAAGAGATTTAAATAAATTGTGTATAAAATAAACTAAACGGGGAATTTTTCATTTTTTTATTTTGTATAAATGTAACGTGGTTAATTTGAATACATTTATTATTTAAATTTATATTAATATGTGTTATTAAAAAAATTTGAGTACAATGATTCTTTATAGAAAGTAATTATACTCGAATTGAAAATATCTATAATACAAGGAATGGGGTTAGCTCTCTCAGCAATTTAACTTATTCACAAAATTTGAACATAAAACCTTATTTATAAGGAATCAAATATATGTATCAACGAAAAAAAATAGTTATTAATATATCAATGAAGAAGACACTTATTAAATAAAATAAATATAAACATATTTTAATTATTGTATCAATATATTTGATTGGCTTAAATCAAAATTTAGTGTAGTTTCAAATTCACTTTAAATAGATATTTATTAATTATAGTTATGTTGAGTTAAGAACTTTATTCTAAATTTATTATAAACTAACTTTAAAAAATAATTTTAAATATAGATTACATTATCTTAAACTCAATTTAAACAAAATTAATTGTATAAAAATAAATTCATTTTAATTCAAGTTTCGAAGGTGCTTAAACAAAAGCAGAAAATTTTATTAAGAACAATACTGTCCTACGATAGCTTGATATTTTACTTGATGACAAGGGTAAAGCTAATCTTTCCCCGCTGATTAAATACTCAATTCATAGTTCACACCAACCCCAACCACAAACGCATTTGAAACTATTTATATCTTCTCAATGTAAAGGCGTGGCATTGGGGTTCTCCACGATCTGTACTGTTTGCTTGGGAGACAATAACATGCACGATAATGATACGATAATGGGCTTCAACTTCTCAGTAATCTTGATTATCACCAAGAATAAAACTCGATAGACAACAATCATGCTTAGCAAAATTGCAAGATCAACCCACTTTGAGTAACTCATGTCAGCTTGCCATGTGTTTCTTAGAACCTCTTCCCCACTAATGTAATTGTGTGAGCCTCCTCCAACTTGATCTGTAGTAAATCTTAGTCCTTCATATTCATTTTTGAACAGTCCTTGGTTGGCAAACGTATGAAAAGCAACGTAGTGCAATGGGTATCTCCAAACTGGCTTAGGAAGATTATTTGGCAATTTAAAGAACCCACCAAGTAAAAGCATCACTCCTTGAATTCCAGCACCGGTTACGATGCCCATTAGAAAGTTGGGGACTATGCTAGCAACTATCATCATAAGGCTCTCCACTAACATGAGACTAGAAAATAAAGCACAAATGAAGTACATAAAATGATCGAACCCTTTCTGAAGTCCAGGAAGGTAATAGGTAATGGCCCCAGGAATGAATGTAACCAATAACAAATATGGGAGGGATGATAACGTGTTCCCAATGACAAATGCAGTAACACCATAATGCCCATTTTGTCTTTCTCGTTGAAATACCTGGGAACCGATGGCATTTTTTCTTAGTGAATACTAATATAATTAACGAAATTAGAAAATAATAATGTTTCAATGATGATCTCATAGTGTAGATAATTTCATTTTAGATGGAGTAACCAAATTAAGACATTATATTAAAACTTGTATGAATATTTTATTTAATTTTTTAAAAATTTTGTTAACTTTATTATTAAGACTAAGTTTAAAATTTTCAAAAATAATTTTTTATTGAAAAATACGCATTTTAATGGAAAATGTGTACGATTACCTTCATGACTTCCACAAAGGAAGGGAATCCACCAATGCTCATGAAAGTTAAGAATCCATTTATAAACGCCACTAGTGAACCTCGATCCTGAAATAATCAGAAGCAACTGAACGATTAGAGAACACTTGCTAAATTTAAAGATTGTGAGCCATACTCTTCCTTACTCAGCCACTCTTACCCGAATTGAGGCATAACTTGTACCCAGATCATAGTAAACACTGGCTAAGGCTATGGCCAAAGCAATATATATGGCAAGGCGCAACCAGTAATAACCCAGATCACGATACATGTTCACGAACGATCTTTTGGTGAGAACTAACCATTGATTAAGAAAGCCTGCATGCTCTCTCTTTTTGTCTGTTGAACCCGTATTCTGAAATCCATTTAAAATTCAATTAATGTTAATGTAAACTAGTGTGTGTCTAGATCTGTTACGACTCTTAAATGTCTATTATCACTCTTTTTCAAGTGAGGTTTTTCTAAATATTATTTTCTCTTTCTTATAACTATATTAATCATAAGGCTATTTTATATAATTTAAACAAATAGAGTGAAAATAGACTTTTAAACACCTCCACTTATACAGGTATTTGCTATATCAGCATCGATATATATAATATATATATATACCTTTTGAGATAGTACTGCTACTTCGTTTTGAACTTGTTGGTTCCTTTCAGATGTTTTATATGAGCTTACAAGGATACGAATTGCTTCCTCTGTGGGTATTGTACGAGTCCCTGCTAAGCCCGCCACAATGTCCTAATGAAATAAATGGTATTTCATTCAGATTTGTATGATTTGAAATATCAACGCACGGTAGCTTAACGGGTCAGCTTGATTACCTGATCGAAATCCTTGTTTATAGTTTTAAGTAAATGATCAGATGGATTCATGAGAGCAGCACAAGGAAAACCATTTGATGCGAAAAACTGCATGAAACAAGAGCATAATCATTAAGTTGATGCTATAATTAGAAATAATGTTAATTTTTGTAATAGTAATAAGAGAAATGCTAGAGTATCCTTATTCAGGGAACTAAGAAATAAAAAATACATTTTTTTTGTCAAAAAATATAATTAATAAATATTCTCCTATGATTTTTAGTGCAGTTAAATGCGTTTTTAAAGAATAAATTTTCATTTTGATTCTTTATCTTGAGCCTCAATAAGACCCTATGGGCTAGTTCCTAATTAGTAATTACCTCACTTGCGGCTGAAGCAGGTCCAAAGTAAACTGTTCTTCCAGAAGACAGAAGACAAAGGTTGTCGAAAAGTTGAAAAACTTCACTACTAGGCTGATGAATTGAAGCAATAACAGTCCTTTGAGTATTATCATTTTGTGCAAGAGTAGAGATTCTTTTCATGACATAATAGGAAGCTGCACTGTCTAGTCCACTAGTTGGTTCATCAAGAAAGAGAAGTTTAGGGCGAGTTAGGATCTCAATACAAATACTCACTCGCCTCATCTGACCCCCACTAATACCCTTACAACCCCATCCTCCAATTCTTGTGTTAATGGCATCTTGTAGACCCATTTCTCTAATTGTAAAATCTGCTCTCTCTTTCTTCTCTTTTTTGGACATGGTATCAGGCAATTGGAGCTGAGCTGAATAGTGCACTGCTTCTCCGACCGTTAAGGTTGTCAATAAGGTATCATCTTGTGTGACATATGCCTGTGGTCACATGCAACATGTATCAGTTAATTCATTATGTGGCTACTGAGAGACTTATTAACAGTCAAATTTGCTTTCGTTAAAGGTAAAAAAAAAAGATTTTGTACGTACCGAGGTTCCATAAGACAATGCTTGTTTGTGACCATTGATCAGAATTTCCCCTGTTTGCCTTATGTTTGAACCTAATCTCCCTGGAATATGAATTCATATCGTTATTTAATTTGTTCAAAGCTTCAAATTGTCTCGATGGCTAAACCTTATCAAAGACTTAATATTATCAATAGAAAGAAGTGTGATTAAAGTGCTTATTCTTCCCTGCAATATTTTTTTCTTTCCTTTCTAATCTCTCAACGGAGACCTTCTCTGCTCAAGTAAACCCTCATTTTAATTTTGAAAGTTGTAAACGTTAGTTACTTTAATTTTATCATATTGAATTACTCCCTTAATCATTTTATAAAAATCTTTTAATCAAATCATATATATTAATTTTTTTTTGAAACTAGTTAATATATTAGTTTTTAAAAAATTAATTACAATATTATAAATTTATTTTTAATTAGAGTCCAACTCCATTATTATATAAAAGCACTATAAGTGCCCTTAGAGTCCTAATTAAGTAATTGAAAATGATTTTTTTTATTGAAAACATAAATAAGCACTTACTTTGGTAATTTTTAATGTATTCTGACATGTTTTTCAAATTATATAAACTAATTATATATTCCTTAAACGATGTCCTATTTTACTGATTAACAAAGACCCTTGTTATATTAATTGTTACTACGTTTTGGTTTTAAATATGAAACTCTTTTAACTATAACTACTTCACAAGCATTAAGAAATATAGTTAACTTTATTAATGGCATATAATTTAGGAACAATTTAGATATATTTTTTTAAAACCACTCTTAAAATTATTGGAACCCATTGTTTGATTCTATCTACATAATTAATTTCTTTGTCTCCACTAAAAGTTTTTTGGTAAAAAAAAATAAATTAATGCACCAACAACTTGCTGGAAATTTAATAAAATGGCCATGACCAACTCCCTAAATTTTTTAAAATTTAATATAAAATATAATAATAAGCTAGAAAGATGAGGGTGAATATTTGTAAAAAAAACATTTCTAAAATTTGTAAAATGCCTTATATATTAAAAATTATTATTTTAAAAATAAAATTTCATAAGCATATTTGATGGATAGATAAGCATATTTCTTTTTCTTGAAAAGGAAAGTTTTAGAAAAAAAAGAGAAGACAAAGTTTATATTTTAAATAATATATTTAAAATTAATATTTTTTAAAAATAAATAATATAAATTAATATATTAATTTAAAATTAAAAATATTTTTTTTTCCTTCAAAAACTCTCTCCCAAACATATTCTTAGAGGACATTATTTTATAAACTAAAAAGTCAAAAAATATCTCATATATATATAAGGGCAGAATTTTTTCATACTGGTGTAAGCCTAAAAACTCTTACATTTGATCTGAGCTTTTCATTTAATAGATTATAATTTATTACTTTATTAGTCATTAGATGTAAGATAAATAAAAAAGTCAGATCAAGTGTAAGAGTTTTTAGACTTACATTAGTATAAGAATTATTCCTATATAATAATAATAACTATATATATACCATATATAATTTATGAGATATATTAGCTCCCTAGATAACAAAACTCACATTAACAGAAAAACCTTCATGGATGATTGATAGTCGCAAGAATGTTAGTGCAGGTGCTTTTTTGAATATTAGTTAAAGAAAAATACTTCTTACACTTTTTAATACAAAATATACATTTTAATAAAAGTATATAATTTATATTAATTTATGCACACATCTAAGTTATATTTAACAGTTTAAAAATAAGAATATAATTAAGGTACATTTAACTGTTTTTCTTTGGTGCTGTGAAGGGCTAAAGACCCTTGATTTTTTTTTTTGGGGTCAAATCTCTTATATATAAAACTCATCTCCAAATTCTTGCCCTCTCTTTTATGTGACAAGCAAAAGTGAAAATTGGTAATAGGACCCGAAGAAGGTCTCTAGTATTATTTGTTAAATTTTTAGTACCATATGTTTTTATTTTTGTTCCTACACAGTGAATGATTTATTTTATCAAAATATATAGGTCTCGTTTTTAATTTAACGTTCACTTATTTTTGTAACTTTTAATAAATTTTAATTAATAAATAAAATTTTACTAAAAGTATATTCTAAAACACTTCTGCTAAATATATTTCATTGATTATTCAGTATTTGGTAATTGTATTTTTTTTTCTTTTTCTTTAGAAAAAAATTTAGTGTACTGGATTTTTCTATATTTATTTATTTGAAGAATTTAGTGTTTTATTTAATTAGCTAGAATTGGTGAGAAAGTATTTTTAAAATGGATGTTATTATTAGAAAGAAACTCAAATTTATAATACAGTTGATTTAAAAAGAGAAAATGAAATAGGGGGAACATTTGCCGCATAAAGGCCAACAGTTAGATGATGCAGGAGATTATTTAAGGAGGTTCAGTTTGAATGTAGAATTAAACCTGCTAAAGTATCAAGAAGTGTAGATTTGCCACAGCCAGAGGGACCCATTATGGCCAAGAGTTGCCCTGGTTTGGCAAAACCAGTTAGACCCTGAAGAATTGATTTGCTTCCATTCTTTCCCATTGAAGAAATTACCCATAGATCCTTCCATGTCAAGCAGATACCCACTTCTTCTGCATGATTGTTGCAACCTGAAACTTGTTTAATGGTCCTCCTTGCTGTGCTACATGTTTCCATCTCCAGTGTAGTGGCCTCGATGTCTAGCACAGTTTCATGACCACATGTAGCAGCAGCTTGAAAAGATTGATGATGGTAAGCCATTCTGTGTCAATAGTAGAAGATAAGAGAAATACAAGTGTGGTAGATAGAATAGATAATTTGTGACAAATCAAGTCAAATATACAGATTTATACATCGTGCGAAAATTTCACAATGTGTTTCATATTTTTCTGTTGTTTTATGCATGCATTGGAGACTATTAACCATTTTGGATTAGGTACAGCATGACAAACGCGGGGGAGGGGTAAGGGGGTCCTACAAAATAAAACATTTTTTCAAATTTGATTCATAATTAATGTAAAATCTTTTAACATACTTCTTAATATCAAAACTATATATTTAATATTTAATTACATTAAATATTTGTCGATCATTCGATATCAAGATTAAACAAATGTTAAAAATTAGACTTCATTAACTTCTTAAAAATTAATGAAAGGGTTTAACATTTTTCAGGCTTATTAATATTAATATAGGATTTCAAACAATGAATTACTGAAATATGAATTTTCTTTTTACAAAATTATATAAATATGATGCTTAAATTTTGACAAGATTTATATAATTCAGAATCGACCTGAGTAATTGATTTCACTAATTTAAATGTTATAGCAGTGCAAGACACATATGAAGAGTTACTAAACGGTTGATTAGGATCAAATGATACAAAAAATTTAAAAATAAACTTAAAGTGGCTGACACAATATCTTGTTTGGCTTCTATCTAATTTCAACATTAGAGTAGCATAACATGTCCATAAATATTTACTATTTTTGTTGAGACTTGTTTTAATGTCAAATAGAATCACTACTTATGCACACCCAAAACTATATATGGTTGTCCCTATAAATGGATTTGCCAATCCCTAACAACAGTTTCCTATGGAGCATTCATTGTCCACTCACAGTAGGAGATCCCACCGCATTCACTGCAACTATTTGTAATTATGTTGTTAATAAATCAAATAAATAAAAAATCATGATTAAATAACATAAATAAACTACAATAAATAAAACAAATAATATATTAAAATTAAAAATAATTAAAGCTCAAAGGCATTTTTTGCCATCCAAATTTTGCTAATAACAATTTCTATACAAGAGAAATATTTAAAAAAATCACTCTAAACTCGCTAAAGATGACCTTCTATTCCAAAAATATCATTATTTTCAGATTAAATCTCACCATATGTGAATTTAAATATTCTCATCACTTTTTACGATATAAATATAGTCATTGACAAGTTTTAATTAATCTCTATAACTTTTTGCAGCTTAAATCTTGTCACTGATGAGTTTTTATCAATTTATATATTTTATTATTTCTTTCATAAAAATGCTTACCGAATCCCATATTTTAGAAAGAAAAAAAAAATCAGCCATTTTTTTAAAGCTTTATAAAGGTTATTGTAAGTTGTACGTATGTTCTAGTTGAATGTGAAACATTGACCACAAAATATTTTGTGGCATTAGTTGTCGTAGTACATTTGTATTTTAGAAGAGATTTTGAAAATTAGATTTTGCATTAAATAGATTTAATTTTTATTTAATAATTTTAAAACTTAAATTTAACCTATTATTTATTATAGGTCTTTTATTAAATTTAGTTTAGTCTTTTTAAAAGCTTAATTTTATTTATTAACTTTTTTAATGGTCTACTTTGTATTAAGACATTAAATTTTAAACTGCTTTATAAACAGACTATTAATCTATCTAAATAGATATATTTTTTTAAAAGTCATAATGCTTATATATAAATAAACTATTAAAAAATAATTTAATACCTTGAATCTATATGATAAAATTATATTTTTTTATTTATCACTTTCAAACTACATATTTAATTTAAATAAGTAAATTATTATACATACAAAAAAAATATAATAAAATAAACATTAATTTATAAATTATTAAACAAATCTAATAGCATAAAATTTTATAAATTAAATCAACAAACACTATATAACTAAATAAATTTTAAATTTTAAATTAACAAATGCAACAAATAAAAATTTAAAATACATAAATAACAATATTTTTTTCATAACAAATAAAAAGTAACAAATATATTATCAGATTTTTAAAGAGATTTCATATTATTTGTCAACCTTTACAATAAAAAAATATTATTAAAAAATATTATAATATATTATTATAAATTTTAAATAAACTATTCTAATAATTTTTTTAAAAAATTTAAACTTAATCTGTTTAATTGATTAAACTTTTAAAAAAAATTAAATTAAATTAATTAATTAAATAAATTAAATTAGACTAAATTTTAAAAAGAGGCCTCTCATATAGCCTCACTTATTTTCATCCGTACTTAATTGTTTAAAATTTGTTGAGGCGTCAGATCAATCGACGTTGTCCACAAAATGAATCCATCATCTCATGAAAATTAGGTAGATAAATGTGAGGATTTAAGACCAAGGATCAACCATTCAGATCCTCTGCATGCCATAAATAATGAGTTTATATTAATAATATGATAATATGTAAAAAAAAATACATAAAATAATGGTCAAGTACATTATTCGTTAGTATAAACTTTTTAGAATCCATATTAATATTTTAATAAAGACTGTATTAAAAGTTATTATTTTAATACTTGACAGTTTTTGTTCATTAATAAATAATATTTTTTGTAATAAATTTTTTTCTATTTTAAGAAATATTTACGTGTGTGTGTAAAATTAATTAAATTAGATGAATAATAATTTTTATTTAATTGGACTAGCATAATATTTCGAATAATTAATACAATAATAAGAGTACGAAAATCTTTTACAAAGAAGGACGTGGCGTGTTCTCCATCCACATTAAATATTTCCACGTGAATTCATGCAGATTCGGACTATTCAGCATTTCTTTTTTCAGTGCAACACATGAACATCATTTTCATTGCTTCCGGAGTTACAGTTGTTGTGCAAGCTCTTTACATAAAACTTTACCTAAAACACGTAAATGGCTAATGAATATATTAGAAAAGCTTGCTTCATTCCAATGATTTAAACATGGAAAGAATACAATCTCCATTTTTCTACCAGAAAAAGAAACAGATACAAAGAATGATGATTAGAAAAGTCTAAGCTCAATAAATGAAAAATACAATGAGAAGGAGCCTCGATCTAAACGAACATGGTGGTAGTGGTCAGAGTAAAATTAGCCAGAGCATGTGATACACGATTTTAAGCTCAGTTCGTGAAACACAGCCATAACTAAACCTTCAATTTTGTAGTTATTTACGATGTTCTAGTTTTGAATCCAGAAATTAATGAAGGAGTATACATGTTTATACACAAACACAACTTAATTTCAGTCTTAAAGGTGTTTTTTTAATTATTTTTAATCAAAATTATTAGTATCTCTACTGTCAGGGCATTAAAACTAAACTATAATATTGATATATCAAATATTTTTATTTTAAAAAAATTCTAACAAATATCTTATAGAATTTAGTAAAAAAAATAATAAAAGGAAAATATTTTATGAAATATAAATTTTCTTAGAATATCTAAATTTTAACTGTTTTATGTATTGTTACTTAAAAAAATTTGTTCTTATGGTACTTGTTAATTTTTTTTATTTTGTAATGATCTTAAGTAACAATGCATTTTGAAGAATCATTAACAAATCTCGTTTGTTTTTTATGATTAATCATAAAAGAAACATTGACTTGTTATTTTTATTTTTACTGAATTAATATTTTAGTAAAATGTGTCACGTAAACTAAGAATAGAGTAATAATATTACTCATAAGGTTTGGACGTACAGTTTTGTGTAATATGTCTTCATTATTAATAATTACAAAATTTTTATTTAATTTAATTTTAAAACAGAAAATAAAATTTAAAATAAAGTCATAATTGTATAATTTTCAATAAAAAAAAATAACACTACTAATTTCACCTCACCAATATGTTGGTTTTTGCCTTAAATGGTAAGTACCTAAAAATAAAATATGTTACTAGAAACAATGTGTGAAGTGAATACATGTCATTATGTCAAAAATTAACAAAAAGAAGAAAGTCAGTATTATATAAAATAAGAAAGTATTCTATACTTTCTTACACGTAAAATTATTATAACCATTAATTTATATAAATAAATAATAAAGTTAGTAATTTATTTAAAAAATATATAAATATTTTTTAATTTTTAAAATATTAAAAAAATTACAATTCTAAATAAAAATATTTAGTTTCTCAAAATAAATATTCAGTTTCTCAAAACAAAATTTATGCTTGGCTTGATAGTAATTATTAACTTATTCCAATTATCAAATTTTATATGTATTTTTTATTCTTTGAAATAAGACAAATTAAAGTTTTTAATATTCTAGCAAATGAAATATTAAAAAAAAATGTTTTTTTTTACTTTTTGGTATTTTAGAAGGAGGGAGATATTAGAAAAGAAAGAAAAATAAAATTGCAGTAACTAAATTGGAATTTTTTCTTATAGCAGAAATCATGTGATTCAAGTGTATTGGTCAAGAAAGATAAATTAGCCGTTTTAAATTAGTTGTTATTTAATTTTAAAAGTTTAAAACTTTATTTGATCAAAATATTTTTTAAATAACTTATAACATTTTCAAAATGTTACTTAGGATATGTTTAGTATAAAATTTTTGGAATATATATATATATATATATATATGTATATTTTAATTTTGAATTAAATATATATACTGATAAATATATTATTAATATATTAAATTTATATATATTATTTAAAAAATAATTTTAAATACATTTATTTAACTAAATAAATGAATATTTATTTAGTTAAAATTTTAAAATTTATGAATATGAGATAATAAGATGGAAGATTACCTATACAATTTGTTTATGAGATTAATTTAGAAAATATTGATAAAATCAATAAACAAATTATAATATATATTATTATTATTATTAATCAATTCATTTGTAAGAATATGTAAATCTAATAAGTTATTTTATTAATTTATTATTATATACTTAATAATTATAATAATACGAAGAAAATCATATATTTAAAATAACTTTATAAATCAAATTTTAATACTATAACTTCAAATATTTATAGAATACGTTAATTTCTTCTGAAAAATAAACTTTATTTTCATTTATAATTTAATAAATTCCCTATTTTTTGTCATTTCATAAAATTATTTAATATCATAATTCTAAAATATCTAAATTAGTATTAAATCTTTTTTAAAAATTAAAGTAAATATGTTAATATCTTTTATAAGCAATATAGAATAATGTATTTATTAAAAAATAATAAAGTATTAATGTTTTTAACGTGTTTTGAAGATCTCTTTTTCTATATCTTTATTTTTAAATGGAGAAACCATTAATGTGTTATATTTTTTAATCTCTATTCTCTGAGAGGTGATACTAGTTATCTCATCGTCTTTAGGATGTCAAATAGTGATGACGTAAGTGACATTTTATCTTATTAAATCAATTAAAAAAAGATAATATATTTTTTTTCTTAATTATATATGTGTGAAATCAATTAAAGAAAGAAATTAATGTTCATTTTGATCCTTTTTAGAAAATTGTAAAATTTTCTTAAATGATTTTCTTTTCTTTCTCTTTATAATTTTGCGAAAATTATTTCCTCCAGGGTTACCAGCATAATTTTACAAAGATCTTCATCCTCTTATTTATTTATGATTTGTTGCCCTTGGAATAATAGAATTAGTTTTTATTCCTTGAAGGGGTATTTTTTATGGAATATTTTAGTGATTGTAGTTCTAGAAAATGGTTGAGATATTACTGAAAATGAGTTTTGACTATATTCAAAATTTGACATCCTAGAAGCAATTAGTTCTAAAAGAAAAATAATGTCTTTTATCAAAAGTTATTTCAAGTTTTTTTGAATTAAATTATTTGATTTTTTGGATTTGAGATGCTTGCCTTAAGAGGGTAGGAATTGTTATTTCCTAATCCATTTTGCTAGGAGTTCTATATCCTCCCATGTAATTATTTTTCTAGAAGTAACATTGACCTTTGTCATATTTATCACAAACAAGGTTGTTTCCTTAGTGTTTAGTCTCAGCAAAATTGTAGAATGACATGGGTTCATGACTTTAAACTAGATTCTATACATTTTAATATTTAAAATAATTAATTTAATATGTTTCTGTATAAAAAAAACTTGAGGTTTTTTTTAGTAACACTTAAAGTATATTGGTCTATGATTAAAATTATTTTTAAAAATTTCTATTACAATATATTATGTTTAGCATCTCTTAGACACATAAAAATAGATGCATTTAAATATTCATTAATCAAAGATTTAACTACTACTTGAATATATCTTATAACATTTTATATGTAAAATTTTATATCTTTTAACATGAATTATAAGAGAATATTTGTTTAATAAATGAAATTTCTCTTAAGAATATCATTCTGGAGAAATATTATTTTCAATAATTTTAATTATGTAATTAGAATTGTTTTTTGAGGCATCCTTAGTTCATCTCAAAAAAGTGTGTCGGCATTTGTTTTCTCTTTCTTTCCCTTGACTTCGTTAAAGCTAAATAGCAACTGAAAGAGACACATTAAAGGATCTTTTCTTTCATTTCCGTGGATAACATTGATCCACAATCTTTTCTCTGGTTAACCAATTATTAAGTTTCTTTAAGTATGTATAATTCATCTTGATAATTTTTTTAATTATTTATTTTTTGATTAATATCTTTAAAACAAATTTTTTTCTATTAAAAATATTATATTTTAGGATATTTTTTCATATTTTAGTTTGCCTCAATGAATAAGGTAAATTATTTAAAAGTTGAGGGAGTTAAAGAAGATCCGAAAGAAAAGTGGAAAAAAGTACAAAGAACTTTTGACTTGATTATATATTTCTAAATCATTACTATGATTTGGTTTCATAAAAACATAATTATTAAGTTATTATTTATCTGAATTTTAAACTTAAGTTAGAAGTTAAAAGTTTGTTTTTGGTGAAAATTGATAAAATTGGAAAGTTTTTTAAAAATGTGAAACTATGGATTAAAGAGGAGGAATTTTGAATTTTTTATTTTGAATGAAATTTGATATTTGGGTAAGTTACTTTTAAGGAAAAGTCCATTTAATTGATTGAGTTTATAATAATTTTTAGTAAAAAAATAAAAATTTAAGAGTTTTAGATAAGAAAATAATAACGGAAGATTAAATTTGCTAAACTTTAAAAATAAAATGACTAAAATAAATAAATAATATTTTAAAAAGTTAAGTAAATTTAATTTACAAAATGCAATTAAATGTAAAGTTTTTTAATAGAATTTTTTTTTTTTACTTTTCTAGACTTTATTAATCTTTTTCTTTTATACAACAATCATGGATAGTTGAAAGCCTACTATACTTACAAGAATAATCAAATCATATTAACACAATACTCCAATCAATACTACAATGTTACGTAATAAATCATTACAAATCAAACCATGCTCACTTATTAACAAGTAAAAACTTTACCAAACTAAACAGTAAAAAATAAATGAAAAATCAGTTACTTCAAAGCTTTGACTATCTTTTTTGAAATATGAATGGTAACTCATTTTCTTCATACTTTATATATTATTTACATGCTTACATCTATTTTATATATTCTACGTAAATTATATTCTCGTATAATTTATGCATAATATTATTCTTCAACATAAGTTTTCGGTCATTTCCACATCCGTCTTTTACATCTTTTAATTCTTTAGTCAGTGCCACATTCATCTTAAATAAATATGACGAGATTAATACTATTGTTAATGAATTTGTTGTGGGATATATGCATGTCAAGTTTAGGGTAGTGCTCGTTCTATATCCTTACTACTTCTCATGCTTGGGAAGAAATATCTCTAGCTTGTTTCACAATAACCATTTCTTACCATATCATCGCAGTTTTGCATTCATAGGAATACAAGAATGCTTCCTTTTTTTTTTGTAATTATCTATATTGTTTTGTGATTCATACAATGCCAATTATTGCTCAAAATTTATCTCACAATAAGATCCATAATATATATATATATATATATACTTCGACATGAATACAATTTCTTTGCCAGCACAGGCATCACAAACAAATATATACAATTTTCATGTATATTATAAGTTTAACTCAGAATTCCATCATCTTGTAAACTTTAGATTCCTTGGTAATAATAAAATGCTTAGTACATAACATATTGCCACACCCCGATTTTGCAGCTCTTATGGGATACCTCAAACATGATTACTGTGCCTTGGGTTACAAGCAATGCAAGCTAATCAATCTCACTGCTCCTTGTCACTTTAGTGAACCTAAAATTTGCTTGAGGACAATTAATTGCTGCAACAATAGGTTTCAACTTCTCAAAGCTCCTGATGATAACAAAAAATAGAATTCTATATACCACTGCCATTCCTACCAAGATAGCAAAATCCACCCACTTTGAATAATTCATTTCCATTTGCCATATTTGTTTCAGTATATCTTCACCACTAATTGTCATGGATCCTCCAACTTGGTTGCTAGTGAATGTTAGACCTTGAAACTCATTCTTGAATAGTCCTTGGTAGGCATACTTGTGGAAGGAAATGTAGTGCAAAGGGTATCTCCAAAAGGGCTTAGGAATATCACTTGGCAGCCTATAAAACCCACCATCTAACATCATTATGCCCAAAATTCCGGAACCAAGGATTATACCCATCAAGAAATTGGGAACCATACTTGCAACAATCATCATAAGACCCTCAACCAAGAAGACAGATATAAAAAGCATAGATATGAAGTACACAAATTGTTCATGCCCTTGTTGAAGTCCCACTAGGTAATAAACAAGTGCTCCTGGGATCAATGACATCAACAACAGAAATGGAACAGCAGATAACGTGTTGCCAATGGTAAATGCAGTGACACCATAATGCCCATTAAGTCTTTCTCGTTCAAAAACCTAATCAAAGATCAAAGACATACATCACTAAAAAATTCAAGAATGTGACATATTATTGATCAGGCATCCAAATTATAAGAGAGGGCTTTCAAGTGTCTCAAAAGCTAAGATTACAAAGACCCTAAGAAGTGACAATGTGAAAAAATCTTTTTAGAGAAACTACTTTACCTTCATATCCTCCACGAAAGAAGGGAACCCACCAACAGTTATGAAGGTCAGGAATGTAACAACAAACACAAGCAGTGAACCTCTGGCCTGAAACCATCAAAATTCGGCTTTAAATTAGTTTTTTCTTTGGGATCATGACTATAAAGTAGCTTATATTGAAGTTTCGTATTATATTTATAACACATACTCTGCCTCACACTATGTCTTACCTGAATTGATTCACTGCTTGAACCAATATCAAAGAACATGGTACCAAGACTTAAAGCCAAGGCACCATAGATAAGAAGGCGTAACCAGTAATAGCCTACTTCACGATACATATTCACGAAAGATCTTCTTGTAAGAATGAGGCATTGGGTAAGAAAGTCAGCATGACATTTCTTCTCCACTGGGTCCAAGTCCTGCATCCATTTGTTCATCACTTTTAATGATCCAAGCTCACATAATTTCATTTTTGTATAGAATATCCTTATTAAATTAAATTTTTCTACAAACAATACAAACTTTTGCAATACAAAAAATTGCTTCCTTCATGTTTATGATTTTCATGTTATGATAGGGCCTGGTTAGGAAAAGGAAAAAATGAATTTGCTTTATTTATATAATTTAGTAAGATTTTTTCTCTACTCTCCTCCCTTTCCATCCTTCTAAGGGAGCAAATAGACTCACCCTTTTCTTTATTTGAGCAATTTCTCTTTGAACTTGATGACGAATCTCAGATGAGTCATATGATTTAACAAGAATATGAATCGATCCTTCAGTGCTGAGCCCTCCAGCTAATCCTTTCTCAGGGTCCTGCAAATGATGAGGTGAATCAGTTACATTATAGAGGCCACTGAAAACTGAAGTAATTTGCACTGAAGATCAAAGAGTGATTCCCCTACCCACCCAAATGTTAGCAAAGTTCTAAAACAAGTCTGTATTTACCTGTTCAAAATCCTTGTTAATGGTTTTTACGAAGTGATCAGCAGGGCTATGGAGACTTGGGCAGGGAAAACCATTTGATGAGAAAAACTGTAGCCAAAATTAGAAGTTAATCAGTCATTGTTTTCATTAAAAAAAAAAAAGAAGAAAAACTGGTGTGTGGACACACAAACACTGGTTGTAGTTTCCAACCTTATTTGCAGCAGAGACAGGTCCAAAGTAAACTGTTTTCCCAGAAGAAAGAAGACAAAGGTTGTGGAAAAGTTGAAAAATTTCATTACTTGGCTGATGAATTGATGCAATAATAGTCCTTTGAATTCCATCCGTTTTGTTTAAGTTAGATATTCTACTCATAACATGATAGGAAGCTGCACTATCAAGTCCACTAGTAGGTTCATCAAGGAAGAGAAGCCTGGGATGTGTTAAGATCTCAATGCAAATGCTAACTCTCCTTTTTTGTCCACCACTAACACCTTTAGATCCCCACCCTCCAATCCTTGTGTTGATAGCATCTTGAAGACCCATTTCTCTGATTGTGAGATCTGCTCTCTCTTGTTTTTCTGACTTGGACATTGAATCTGGCAATTGAAGGTGAGCTGAGTAGTATACAGCTTCTTTAACTGTCAGAGTTGCCAAAATAGTATCATCTTCTGTTACATATGCCTGATTTCAATGGTAAGAGGGAGAAGATAGATTAATAGACTGTGTATATATATGACTCCTCTATGGCTAATTAAAAGAAAAAGTGTTGTATGACTCCTCTATGGCTAATTAAAAGAAAAAGTGTTGTTTCTTTGTGTGTGAGTGTATAGGGGGTGGGTGGTTCTTCAAACGCTTTACAAAATATTCTTACAGTTGCTCCATAAGCTAGTGCTTGTTTCCTGCCATTGATTAGAATTTTCCCTGTTTGCTTTGTCCTTGAACCTAATCTTCCTGCAATTTCACATGAAGTATATGATATTATGATGTTTATGAAGTTGATAACTGTCCTGCTTGTAACCCTGGAAAATTTTTGCAAATTTTATTTCTTTCCCTTTAAATTTTTCTGAGACTATATGATTTGTGAATTTGTTTTCCCTTTGATAACTGGTAAGCACGGTTTCCCTTCTATGCAGCATTCTAATTTCTAAATATAATTTGACCAGCAAAAGCATTTTATAATTTAAAAGAACTCAAACACAAGTGGAAGAGAATGTGAGATTTTGAAGGTCATCATAGGCAAGAAAATGAGCATGCTTGTATGAAATATGCTTTAATTGAGTGATATTAATATATAGTTGCAAGCACAGTACAAAACAAACAAAAATCCCAATCATTTGAGGCCCATGTATTGCATGTACATATTTCATTAATAAAACCCATGAAGTTAAATGCATGTTATAAAGTCAAAGTATCATATTGGATGGTCATCTAAATATCATTACCCGCTAAAGCATCAAGCAGTGTTGACTTGCCACAACCAGAAGGACCCATTATAGCCAAGAGTTGTCCTGGTTTGGCATAACCTTTTAGGCCCTCAAGTATTGGCTTCCTTCCATTCTTTCTTTCATTTGAAACAGTCACCCACAGGTCCTCCCACGTCAAGAAAACCCCCTTCTCTTCATTTGCATGATCAACTTTCCCATTTTCGATTGATTTCATCCCTTCCACATCAAATGTGGTCTCAAATTCTGAAAGGGGTGGCAGATTTTTAGAGATATTGTTTGGTTCACATTCACTAGTATGAGGTTGAAGTGGAAGGCTCATGATGAATTTTGTGTGTGTGTGTGTGTGTGTGTGTTGGGACTATGCTACTGAGAGTGAGAGGGTGTGCATTAGGATGGTAGAAGAGTATGGTCTGTTCAAACCTTCCAAAGCCTACTTGCTATATAAAATGTTTGGTTTGTAATATAGAATAACTGTTAAAGAAAAAGAGCACTTTTTTAGCACACTTTTGGATGGTCAATATGAAATTGGTGATCAAAAAAGTTCATAAAGTCAAAGAAACAAATCAATATAGTTGTCAGACAAAAAAAGACTCTTGTGAAGTGGGGAATTCTACTGTAACCCTACTTGTACCTACCTCCAAATCATTTTCAACAAAAGAAAAAATATTATTTACTTCTTGCTGGACAATGTGTTAAATTTTATCAAACATGAAAAGAGTATTATTTTATTAACATCAATTATATTTTACACTCAACTCGAACAGAACACTGAGCTTCGCACATGAACCGAAAAAAGAAACCAAAAATCCAATAAAATCTTTGCCAATGTTGTACAAAGTATCACAAAAACACCATTACATTAGCGGGAAGCCAAAGTCACATGTTATAATAATGTGGGTAAATTTATTATAATTATGTATGGATTAAAAATTGATATAAAAGGTCACTACTATACAACAATTTGATGACCTCTTGAGGTGAGTGATTAATGAGCTTGAAGAAGCATGCTAATTACTAATTAACACCTGACGCCAGCCTCATACATATGATTTGATATGTCTCTACATTCAACAAATACAATATTCATACGTTTACATAAATAATATGAAGTTGTAGAAGCCTGATTAATATCAAACCTTCACATTCTTGTCTTGAATATTCAGGGGAAGGTAGAAAATAAATGTTGACACTTCCAATACACATACTGACAAACAAATACGAGCCACCAAATGTAAGTTTTAATTGTATTTGAAATCTTAAACATTACAACTCGTTCCTATAAAAAAAAGGAAAAATGGAGTTTCTATACTAAATGTGATAAATTTGATCTTTCAAAACATCCCATTCGAATATATTGTATCATCAAGGAACGCTCACGTTCTTATGGAAAAAGACAAGTGTATTATTTGTTGTATTTGGTACGAGTAATAAAGACCAAAATAGTAATGGATGCGGAGAAAAAACAAAACAAAAACTGATTTTGATAATAACAACTTTTAAGATTCATTTTAAGTATTTTAAAATCAGTAACTTTCACTACAAAAACAAAATATTCATTACATTAAATGTATAAATATATAATAAATATTTTGTTTTCAATAAAATGTTATTAAATATTTAGAAGTTCCATTTTTAAGTAGTCACTTATATGTGGAGGATAAATAAGAAATCGAGAGTATCATTACTCAGTGGAACACAGTAAAGAATACACAATACACGTCTATTTCATTTTCCCCCTACTCCTATAAATAAAACACACCTAACACTTGCATTTCACGCATGCAGTCATTGAGCAATTCAAAGTTTGATTAAAAAAAATTAGATAAATTGGGTTTTATAGACAGACCAAAATCTGAATACGCATTAAGATTTAATTAACGCTTACATATATATATATATATATATGGTTGATTGTTAGACTAAATGGGAGTCCCCTTGTTGATTAGGCTTTTGTAATAATTTATTATTAATATGATAATATTTAAGTTTCTCTGATCAAACTTTTGTGCGGTAAGTTAGAGTTTTGTCCAAAATTTCAAGTGCAAAGTTTTTTCGCGAAATAATCTGTAAACAATAAAAGAAAGTTCTTTAAATACATTGAATGACTTTAAACTTTTAAAATAGTTATGCAAAATGAATTTCAAATTGTGTAAAAATAGATCAATGCATAAGAAATTTTTACACGATCATATCAGGTAAAACATTACCTACAACCATATTAAATGAGAACATTTTTCGTATAAGAGTAAGAAAAACATATATTAATCATTAAATTTTATGATTAAACAGACAAATTAAAATATAAAAATGACATAACTTTTTAAATAATCATGTAATCTTAATTATTTTTTTACTTTCATATAAAAGATAACTTTAATAAAATATATTGTCATATATATATATATATAATTTTGAGAAAACAAAATGATATAAAAGTGAAGATAAATCATTCTTTTAAGAGCATGGTGACATTTAGACAAGAGTTGGTAGATCCTGATGAGATCACAGCACATGTACAACTTCTGCAAGTTCCAGAGAGTTTTCAGCCAGAAGAGCTACCAGATTAGGAACTTTCTTCTATGGTCCCAAAAGAAAAAGCTTTTGCCTAACCACATTTTTTTAATTAAAAGAAGCGGAAACAGCACTGTGTAGACTCGCCAAAAGGCCTAAAAACAAAGGGGTCTTGAATGTTGAGTGTGAATAGTAGATGAAGTTGGTAGTGTCCACACTTAATGCTTGGACACACCCAAAGTCCACCATTACATCTTGTGGCTCCTAAACCACCCCAGAAACAAACGTAGTTGACAGGTCACCCCAACACTTTCAGACCACTATATACTGTTCTTCTATCTATAATCTTTTCCCAATAAATCCATATCCTATACACACAGATTCCAATAAAAAGAAAATTAATATATAATTAAACCTTGGTTTCATTAAGATTTCACTTTGGTAATGTTGGTGTGATCTTGTCATTTCCTGTTGCGCTTTGCATGAGTCTTAGTTTGATGCTTCTTATTGGAAGAGTAAAAGGTTGGCAGGTACAAGGTACCCGTGCATAGAGTGTCATATTGGACTTTCTCAGTAGTTAATATATAAGTTTGGTTTGGATAAATTCTTTAATAAATATTTACAGGAGCGAAAAAATTGTAAAATAATTTTAAAAATTATAAATTAAAAACAACTTATATTTTTATTTTCTATAAACATTCATTTATTTTTATAAAAATTGAGTGGATTTTTAATAAATACTTATTTAGAAACTTACCCCAGTTAGTTATTAGTGAGTTGAATTCAAAAGACAAATGCCAATTAGCATAAACACTAATATAGTACTGTATATGAAACCCTCCCACTGATTTTCGTCAATTTTAATTTTTTTTTTTATGATTATTTGAACCTTTTAATTCTTTAGGCTACTTTTTAAGGGTATATAAAAGATATTTGTGATGAGTTTAGTAAAATCATAAATACATTTATCATTAAATATTGATCCATAATATGTTAATAAAAGAGTACGACAATTCTAATTTGTTTGGCTAAATACGGTTAAATTAACAAAATTGTGTAACTTGTAATTTAATAGATCCAACTAAACATAATTTTAAATATGTTGGCTTGAGGGTTGGCTCAAATTAATATCGCCACCATATATTAATGTATGTTAGATTTAGGGTTTGTCTTAAAGAGATATATTATAAAAATAAATTATTACTTTTGTAAGCTGATGTTAATTTATTTTAATAATTTTTTATATAGTTTATTAAAATAAGTGATTTTTAATTTATTTTAATAAATTATCATTTAAATAAATTTTATTTTAAAACGCATCCTTAAGCTGATATTGTTTTGAGCTTATTTAAGATGTAGGTCAATCTCTTCATATCCATCTAGCTACTATCAATTAGTTAGACAACAATATAGGGTGAATCACTACATCTACTTACCTCTACTTCTATCCCCAAAAATAAAGTCATGCAATTAATCTTAACTTATGCTTCGTTAGCAGTTTATTTCATGTGTTTTGTGTGATTATTATATAAATTATAAATATCTTCGACAAGAACCAATTTTATATAAAATAAAAAATTTATATTATTATAGGGATAGCTTTTTTTTCATATGTAATTTAAAAAAAAAAAACTATATACAACTTGAGCTAATTTTTATTAATATATTATAGGAATTTATTATTTTACTAATACTAGTCTTGTTATCGTATGTCTATAAATTTAGTCTCATAAGCATTTTAAAAGTTATCCTGAGAAATATTCAGGAAAAAATATGAATAATTTTTTTAAGAACTTATCATATACGAGTGCTATTTTTCTGAAAAATATAATTAAATATGTTACAAAATCATGACCAAAGCAAAATTTAATTAAGAGGTGGTACCTTCAGAGTCTGCTACGGTAATGGATCCATGGCCCATGAGCCCATTTCCTTATGAAATAAATTGACCTGAACGTGGAATCTAATAATAATAATAATAATAATAATAATAAAGGGTTTCTATTGAAATAAAAACCCAAAGTGGGTTCTAAATCTGAAAAAATGACTAAAACAAAATTGTCAATTACTAATAAATAAAAATGATTAATTGTTAAGCTAGTATTTACGTCTAATCTTTAATAAAAGTCAAAATTTTACTATTCAACTTGAATATACAAATTGTGTATTTTACATTCAAATATAATTTAAGAATGTTAACAAAGGAAGGCTACCCACTGCGAGTAAAAAATAGCTTCGTACTCAACCTATGCGATTATTTGTTAAGCATATTCATTATTATTTGTAGTTATCCATGAATATTTGTGAATGTTTATTACAATAAGTATAAAAAAATCATAAAAATAAACTAATGTAAAGTAATTTATATATATAATTATAATTAAAATAATAAAAAAAATAATGCCCTCAAGTTATGAAAATAGTACAATATTTTATTCTAATAATGAGAATATAATATCAAGTTAAATACATATCAAAATTATCGTAAAATAGTAATGTTAAGAACATATTTATTTGAATATACATCATAATATTTTAATAATTTTTACAAATACCTTAACATTTTCACTTGCCTCAGTAGAAAGTGAGTAAAAAAATTGTTGAATTAAATTTGTAAATATTCATATGTGTAAATATTTGAATTTTTACTCACGAATATCCATGAGTGTGAATAGTTTTACTCTTTTTGAAATTAATTTGGTCAATTTCTTGTTTAATTCTAACCCAAACTATCGGTTTACGATAAATGGTAGATATGATATTTCTTTTACAAGTTGTCAGTTCTCTCATAACTTGCTTTTATACCATTTATTTTTATGAATTATCTTACAATTATTTTTATTGAAACATTTTAATAAACTTATGAAACACAAAATGAAATTCATCTTATAAACAATCGTTTTTAATCATCAAAATACACTAACATCTTCATTATTAGAGAAAAATTTCCAACACTTTAAATATCTCTCTCACACACACAGCCGGTGCTGAGGTTATCAATGCGCTATTGCTGAGGACTGACCGGTGATGATAAGCTAACTGTTTTCAAAATTTATCTAAGAACTTACATTAAAAAAAATTGTTAATTAAAAATTATAATGTTGAATAATATTCATATTTTAAATGAATTATGCGATATGAATTTTTATTATATACCCTTAAATATATTTCGATAATATTTGATATTATTAATGTTTTAAATTTTTTATATTATAATAACTTTTATTGTATGTATATATTCTTACATACATATAATATAATATGTACTTTTCTGACGGTAATTTGACCGCAGATAACGTTGATCGGCGACGGTTAGGCTGGCCATAAAATGCGCACCATTGATGGCAAAATAAATATTACGTAGCCCTTGCAAATGTCATTAATTGGATGACCTCAGTCGTCAAAATTGAAAATTGAATCGACGGCTGCGTGATTGTGGAAATTGTTGGTCAATGTGATGCAATGTTACAATCTGAAATTATGTTCATAACGTGTGAGATGGATGATGAATGGTACTAGAATTCAAGTACAGGAGAGGAAGTATTGCTCTGAGCATCACATTGTTGAGGTTAACAAGATAATGAAGTTTGCATGAAATTGTTGCGCAATTTTCCACGTAACTGACGTTGAAGATTCTTCTGACTCCAAGCTTGGTTGTCTTCACCATCACCAAGTGAATCCATCTTCTGTAAAATTTTATCAACCTCCTCTCTTACTATTACCAAGAATTTGGGGTTAGCCTATTCTTCTATGTGAAAAATTTATCAAAAAATAGCTAGTTTTTCAGCCTTTATTTTTTAAAAGTGAACTAAATATTTTAATATGATCGGTTTTTGACATAGAAGCACCAATTTGAGGCAGGATAATTTATAGTTTTCTTGATCTTAATAAGATATTTATTAATTGGATTCCCTTTCTTCATTGTGTGAAGCTGTAATTTCAACTTGTTGATTTTAGCTCAAGTTTGAGACACAAAAAATGCGTCTAGTCTTTTTCATATGTGATGGGAGAATACCATCTTGGTAAGAATAGGTCGAGACACGAGGCCAATCGCCATGCTATTCATAATTGAGGTAGTCATTCCTAACCGGATTTCTTCGTGCTCTTCAAGAAATTTACGTCATCAAATTTGACTTAAATTCGACTAGTAAAGGTATAGATTGAGGAGCCATACAACAAAATGTATCTGGGTATGACAGGATATAAATCAAAGAGAAAAAGGGAAGAAGAAAGGAAATCTTGAGAGAAAATGAATAATTCTATTACATCATATTAATTGTGATTACATGGTCTTAGATAAACTTGATAAAAAAAATATCAATTAATAGAACCATTAACACGAGGTTAACTATTGCTTAGTAAGCGCATATATATATATATATATATATATATATATATATATATATATATATATATATATATATATATATATATTCAACATATCTTTATTATGGTATAGGTTCCCGGCCAAAAATGGTATCAGAGCCTTAGTTATCTGAATCAGGCCCTACCCTTCACGTAATGACACACTTAATATTAACCAACTTCGTCTTTTATTGACCAATTTTAGCCACTTAATATAAAAATTAATGGTCAATATCTTGCTGAAGAGAGGCTGGCGAAGATTCCGGTAGAGTGGATCTATTGAAAACTTTTGCTTGGGGACCACCATTAATGTCACCAGGCATAGGTTTGAACTTCTCCTTGCTCTTAACGATGGTCAAGAACAAAACACGATATAGAACAATCATTCCAAACATGATAGCAAGATCAACCCACTTGGAGTAACCCATTTGCACGTGCCATGTCTCAGCCAATATCATTCTACCACTCTTGGTTTTGGCACCATCACCTTGATCCAAAACAAATGTTAAGCCTTCAAATTCGTTCTTTAACAACCCTTGGAGAGCATATGCTAAGAAAGAAACATAGTACAAAGGGTATTTCCATAATGGCTTAGGAAGATCATTTGGTAGTCGATAGAATCCACCTGCTAAAATCATAAGCCCTTCCATTCCACCAGCAATGAACACACCGATTACGAAATTTGGAAAGATACTCCCAACAACCATCATAAGACTCTCAACCCACATCACAATGGCAAATAGAACAGAAATAAAATATAAAATGTTTTCTAGTCCTTTGTGTAATCCAGAAAGGTATGTAACTATAATTCCGGGAATAAGAGATATCATTAGTATGTAGGGAATAGCAGATAATATGTTGCCTATGAGAAAAGCTGTAATACCGTAGTGCCCATTTAATCTCTCTCGTTCAAATACCTGACACAATGAAAGGAAAATTTTAGTTGAAAAGTAAGACAATTAATCATTAATCAGAATACCTTAATTAATTCTTCAGAGCTGACAAGAGAAGAATTTGTATTCAAAATTCTAATTATAAAAGCATTATTAGAAGGCAGTTGTTTTTCACTTTTTCCTCTCATATATGATTTGACTGTGAAAGATACTTTTATTAGTGTTTGATATACTTTGCTAATTGGTTTTAATAAAAATGTCAGTTTACCTTGGATAAAAAAAAAGTGCCGAGTACAATGCAATGAAACTTTGTTCATGAAACTTTTTGGGAGAAATAAACATTTCTTAAATTATAAAGTTGCTCCAAAAAAGTTGACAAAAAGGGAATGGCAAATTTTTACTCAATTGCTTTAAAAGATAATCTATAATGGTCAAGGTTTATTATTTTGTTCTTAAAAAATTTTATGTTAAACTAATTGATTTTGTGGCCTTAATTTCTAGTTGAAATAGATACTTTGATAAAAAAAATTCTTAACATAGTCTTAGTAAAATTTTAATAAAAAAATGACATTTGGACAAATTTCTTTAAAAAATATGGTAAAAAAACAATTTTGTTTAATAAAAAAGTGACTTTTTTAACAAGTTTTTATCAATTATGATCAATAAAAATTATAATTTTTTAGTTAAAATGAAGAGATATTTTAATGAGTTTTATAAGAAATTAATGACTTAAGAAACATATTTTTGGTAAAAAAAAATTAACATATTTTACAAATTTATATGAAATGATGGTTAAAGAAACATTATTTCTAGTAAAAAAGGAAGTGATTTTTTTGACGAGTTTTTGGATAAATTGTAGACAAAAAAAGTTTTTGTCGAAATGAAGAGAGATGAAATTTTTAGTCAAAATGAAGAAATATTTTTAATTATTTTTTATAAGTGAATTTTGATTAGGAAAACATAGGTTTTTAATCAAAAATGATATTTCAACAAGTTTTGGCAAGTTCATGAGTGATTTGTAGGTAAAATTACAAAGGTACAAGTGTGTCAAAATTTAGTTAAAAAAAGATATTTTGAGATAGTTTTAGAAAATATTGTCTTTATTAACTTTGATCAAGAATTAATTGAAAATTACTTTATCAAAATTTGAACAAGTTATTTTTAAATAAAAAATCTCAAATACAAAAACTTCAAAAAAGATAAAAAAAAAAATTGTGTCAAATTGTCACTGCATCAAGAATAATTATTAACAATTATAGATGAAAATACATAACAAAGATAATGAATAATATATGATAGATAGTATATCAAAATATAGTTTTGAGAATAATTTTTACACGCAAACACTTGAACTCAAAATTTTTACATCGTCAAAATTTTCCATTAGTTAAACTCGACAAACAATAGATAACAATTATGTGTTTATTGTTGTTCAAAAGATGTACGTTTCATATTTTGTAATTTAATTTTAATCAGTTTACTTGTTTATTTCAATCTTACATTGCTTTATTTTAATATTTATTCTTAACTCTTCTTCTTTTGCCTATTCTATTTTTATTTTACTTTTTTTTACATTAATTTATTCATTTTATTAAGAACATACACTATTAAAAAAAACTTATAAGATTTCAAATTTAATCTCAAATTATTCTAAATTTATTTATTTACTTAAAAATTCACCCTTCAACACATAACAATTTTACCTTCATTTCCTCGATTAATGGAGAGAATCCACCAACGAGTGTCATGAAAGCCAGAACTGAAATAAAAAAGCAAAGCAGCGATCCTCTGTCCTGTAGCATCCGTGAGGATATTGTTCACGTTAGCCATAAAAAAATTGCAGGAAAACTATATTTACATACACAAAAAGTACATTCCATAATTTATTTTAATTTAATAACATTAACTTTTAAAAGTAGATTAAATAATAATACAACATATCTAACTTAACGCTGAGTGAAATAAGAAATCTAGTTTGTCAAATTTTATTTTAAAAACTAAAGTATACACGTATTTTAAAAGACTAGAATATATGTGTGCACAAGTAGTAATATGCAAGATAGACAAAATCACATTATTTTAACTCAATCAATTTGTGCATTCCATGTATCTTCTTTTATCATTATAAAGATTTTAAAGTTATAAATATTAAACTAAAATTAAGAACTTGGCAACAAAAGTTTTAAAAAATTAAACATTGTTAGTTTTGAAAATTAAATAGATGAAATAATATATTTTTAAAGAATGAAAATAAGATTTTACTGTAATTTTACCTGTATCGATTCCATGCTTAGGCCTACGTGATAGAAGATAGAGCCCACGCTTGCAGCTATTGCCATAAAGACAACAAGACGTAACCAATAATTGCTTATGTCACGATAGATTTGGAGTGAAGATCTTTTCGTAAGAACGAGGCACTGAGTGAGGAACGCAGCGTGGATCTTCTTCTTACCGTTTGCACCGGAATCCTAATAAACACGTCCCAAAGTTAATCATTCATATAAATGGTACTTCATAAGTCATAATTGATTTGGATAAAGGGTATTATTTATAGTGTTATATAGTAATGAAAATAATGCTACATGAAATTCAACTTACGCTTTCACTTATTTTTGCCACTTCAAGTTGAACTTGATTTCTAATATCAGACGATTTATAAGAATTTACAAGGGTATTAATTGCTAATTCAGCAGTTACTCCATTACCAAAGCCTTCTTCAGCATCCTGAAAACATATCAATTATGTTTCAAAGATTCCAAATAAACTCCAGCAAGAGTTAAATTGCATACACACCTGATTGAAATCTTTGTTTATGATCCTTAAGTAATGATCGGAAGGATTATGGAGAGGTGGGCAAGGAAAGCTATTTGAAGCAAAAAACTGCACTGGAAATGAAGTGTATCACTATGTATCCGATCAACTTAAAGTCAACAATATCCGTTTTTTTTTTTTTTTTTTAAATAAGTGTTTTAGTTCCTAACCTGATTTGCATCAGACGCAGGACCAAAATATACTGTCTCCCCAGAAGACAGAAGGAAAAGATCATGGAAAAGTTCAAAAACTTCACTGCTGGGTTGATGAATGGAAGCAACAATAGTCCTTTGAATTCCATCTCTTTGATTTAGACTTGCAATTTTACTCATAACATAATAAGAGGCTGCACTATCAAGTCCACTAGTTGGTTCATCAAGGAAGAGAAGTTTTGGGCGTGTTAGAATCTCAATGCAAATGCTAAGTCTCCTCTTTTGTCCCCCACTCAGGCCTTTAGAACTCCACCCTCCAACCCTTGTGTTAATGGCATTTTGTAGACCCATTTCTCTCAGTGTGATATCTGCTTGTTCTTTCTTCTCTGCTATGGACATTGAATCTGGAAATTGGAGCTGAGCCGAGTAGTATAAAGTTTCTCTAGCAGTTAAAGTGGACAACATAGCTTCTTCTTGTGTTACATAGCCCTGATTTCACGTATGAATGGGAGAGGTTAATAAAACTTTTTTACAATTATTCTTTCATCTACTAAAAAAAATGCTACATTGTTTTTAGGACTTGTAGAGCTTTATGGAATTTTCTCTTACTGATGTTCCATATGCCAGTTCTTGTTTGCGGCCATTGATTAAGATCTTCCCCGTTTGCTTTATGTTTGATCTCAATCTTCCTGCAACATAGTTTGAATCATATGTTAAATTTTTACATAATATAAATCGCTTCCAACCACAGCAAACAAAAAGAAACTTCTAATTAGATTATACTATTTTAGAATTCAAGAAAAAGTGAAACTGAATACTGATACTTTCTTTTTCTGTCACATATAAACTGATTCTAGATTATTTTATCTACGTCCTAATTTCATGGAAAGTGTTGGTTTTCTGACAAGCAAAGCGCACACGTAATTTACAAAGGTTTAAAAAAGAGAACATATATACTTGCATGTGTTCGTTGAAAAGTCAGTGATTATAACTCGAGACAAGAAACTCGTATATACACATGTACAGTGACATGGATGCAAGTACCCTTGTCCGTTGCTACGCATTCCTGGTATATAAATTGCAGTAGACTAATACTTAACTCACCTGCTAAAGCATCAAGAAGTGTGGATTTGCCACAGCCTGAAGGACCCATTATAGCTAAAAGCTTCCCTGGCTGAGCATAACCTGTTAGTCCATGCAGAATTTGTTTTCTACTCTTTCCATTCGTAACTGTGGCCTCCAAATTCTCCCACGTCACAGTAATGCCGTCATGTTTTTCTCCCATGTCAACTAGACTAACTTGAGTTCATCCTTTTCAATCTGCAGTTGACTATTTATAGTATAAGATTTTCTGTCAGAAAAACAACTAGATTACAAATTATCTTCTTTTTTTTTTTTGGGGGGGGGGGGGGGAGGGGGGGTTGTTGTCCTAATACAAATTATCATTTTTGTAATGAAAGTAAAATTCGCACTTATGTTTTATTACTTCACTTAAAAGGATAACAAAGATTAAAAATATAATTAATATTCGCACTTATGTTAAAATTATTTTTAACTTGTTAATAAAACTTTGGCTATAATTTCTTTCTTTGTTTCTAATAAGTTTGCATTTAAGAATTAAGTAAGATAAAAATATAATTATAAATTATAAATTAGTATTATCTTAAATTTTAAATAAGTAAATTTAAAAAAACTGATAAAAATAAGAGAATTATTTGAAAGAGAATCTAACAAAACTAGTTTGGATGGAAGTTGATGTAGTTTGATTTGTCCACCGCAGTTAACGCAGGGACAGTGCATGAATGGGCAAGTAACACCTTCTAGGTCTTATATTACGGGTCAAAATGGTCGTTGGGCCCTTCATTATTAACCCACTGGAATTCTTCCAGAATATTATTTTTTAAAATTTAGTGGGCCGTCATGATATTAATGTTACAATTATGTAATATGTAAATAAAACTCTCATTTTGTGGTATTAAAAGTTGATTCAATTCTATTTTCATTGTAGCTGAAAAGTTGTGACACGAACATTATTAGTCGTCATATGCAGCTTGTACTTTAGTATAACAAGAGAAGATTGTACTATTACCTTACCTAACATCCAATTTTTATCTACTTAGCTTGTAGACTCAAGTAATTAATAATCTTTAGACGTGATATTCTTTTCTCAAGTCCCCTCTCTAGATCAAACACTGATTTTTCATCCCTCGCTGCCACTATAGTAGGCCATTTTTCTACCATTAAAAGTTTATAAGAAAAAAAATTGAATATGGTGCTAGCAACAAGAACATTTTGACAACTTATCATGAATTATTAAAACAATTGATAAACTCTGCATCAATCTTTTATCTAATAAATATATCCCTTTCAAAAGTTGAGATTTTTTTCAGATCTAAAATTACCTAGTTAGCGTTTCCAATAATCATACGGTTGTCTCAAAGATCATGTGTGTATAAATATGAACTGAATTAGATTGTAAAAGTACGAATGAGTCATTTAATCAATTATAATTTATTTAATAGTATTACCTGCTAAATATCTGAGCTTTAAGAAAGGATGGGTAAATTGCATCAATGATTTTTTGAATTGCCAATATAATAAGGAACTACTTTAGTGCTTTTGAATTTCTAAGATAGGTCTGGTCACTTTTTTTTAAAAATGGTTTATTCTTAGAAATTTCAATGTGAATCTCTAATAAAAAAGACAAGGAATCATTAATGCAGGTTACTTTTCCTTTTAAAAAAATTATCACATAACCAATATAAATAAACAGTAAAGTTTCAATTAATTTTGAACTTAACCTAGATCTACTAGTATTTGGTTGAACTAATTGCAAATGCGAACAAAAATGTAACAAAATATTACTACGAAAATTAATAAGTAAAAAAGAATTGTGATCACGAAAAAGTAGTTTAAATTCAAAAGTAAACAGGTCATGAATAACAGATCTGTAGGGCAAATTGGATAAGGATGACCCACATAAATCCTTCTGAGCATTGTCTCTTAACTCCATGATTTGCTAATATTAAATATATTTTCTATTATAACATTTAATTAATGTCGGTTTGGCGCGTAAAATTAATTAAGTGTAGAATTTAGATTTTGAATTGAATCTTAAAACATTAGTTATGATATTTTGAATTTTTTTTAAAAAATTAGTATCTCAATTTAAATATTCAACTTCATTTAGAATTTTAACACAACTAAAATTAACACTTTTCAATTTTTAACCCTATTTTAAAAATAACTTATATACTATACTGATTACCTTATTCTTTTTAATATCATTGTTTTCATTTACACAAATATTACTTACTAAAGTTGATATTAACTATTAACCGTTACTATCCTAATATTAACGTCATCATTATTACTATTATAATTATTATCATCTATAAATCAAATTTTTAACTCAAACTCATGTAAGTTTACCAACATGCATGGCTCCTAATTGGTAATGTCAAATTAAAATTGAAATACAATTTAGAATTATATATTTTCATTTTATTTTTATGTAACTCAAATAATTATGATTTTGAACTAATTATAGTTCTTCAGAATAAGGACTGGAATTACAATTAAGAACTACGATTGCAATTTCATACACCAACAAACGTTTTTAAAAGTGAAATTCCTAATTCCATTTAACTTATGACAAAGTACTTACTTTTTTTAGTATTTTATACTTAGATAACTTCTAAATAAATAATCTTTACTTCTCAGTATTTATTATCGTTTAGATACTCGTATGACCTCCATTGCTATCTTGAGAACTAGCTTACAAGAGTATTTAAGGAGCTGTTCTATTTCTAAAATTATTTTTTCTTTATATTTGAAGTTAGGAATTCAGATTTTTATTTTCATTTTTCCAAGTTTTTTTAAAATATGTTTGCTTTTGTTATTTTCATTTTCAAAGACCATTATGAAAGATTCTTGTGTTGAGAACTGAGTTACCATGCCCTATCACATGGTGAAAATTGTGAAGTATAGCCCTAAAAGTGAACTTATGTTAATGATGGTACTTTCGAATTGACTTTTGAGTGTTGAAATTGTGAATTGTAGCCCAAAAGCCTAAAAGTAACTTAGTAGATATTAGAGGACAATCAATTACACCCCCATCAAACCAATCCTATGGCCTATTACTATTCAATTCTAACCACTAAGCAATAGCACCCCCACTCGATCAACGAGCATCACGTTATGTTGTCACAAACAAATGGTCGAGTTCCTAACAAATAACTCTATTTGGGTGAACAAAGAATGTTTTGGTTGGTTTGATAGAGTGGGTTGTGTTGCCAAAGCCATCTCTTATAGACTGCAAAAGCAGTTCTAATAGTGGCAAAATGTTAGAAGAAATGAGATACAAAACAAATACAAGTGTCATTAGAATTTATCAAGGTGAAATCACTTAAAACAACTCATTTATCATTTTCAATATTTTTAAAGTTGATATTTTTATTTTCTAAATATGAAAATGAAAACAATACTCAAACACTCAAAACGTTTTTTTTCTTGTTTTATTAAAAATAAAAACAAAAAATAGTTAAACCAAATGAACCCTAAACTTTATTTTTGTGACCATTTATGCCTTATTCAGTAAGCTTTAAACAATGATCCCAAAACTAATGCATAATAATATTTTTTTCGAAACCCTCCATAATGATCTATTTATTTTTACGTCATCCAACATGAACATTATAGTATTGTTATAAGTAGTCAAATGCCTCTACTTGGGTTAAAATATGATGGATCATAAGCTTTGTTTTTATATTCTAAAATACATTTTATATATCATCTTTCTTATTCCTAAACTCCATACTTGGAAGTTCATTGACTTTTGGTTGCGATGATAAACATACAAAAATGCTCCATTGGTAGTGTTCATACGCTGCACTTGGCCTTTCCCCAACTTTATGATTCATTATCCATCTTAGGTGCTTGTTAAAATGGATATTATATCCTTCACCCATCTCTTTCACAAGTCTAATATTGCAACCTTCGTCTCAAGATACAAATTCACATGTTTGAATTGCATTCTAAATGAATTTGGGATACGCTCTGACTAATATTTTGAAGGAGTAAGAAACTGAACTTTATCAAAGGCTAGATTTTAACTTCTTTTTTTTTTTTTTAAGATGTTCAAATTAAATTACCTTAAAAAACAGAGCATTTGAATCAATTAATTAAAATTATTTCAACCAAATATGTAATCTTAAATTCAAATCTTAATAAATACAATTATGTTAATTATTAAAAGAGAGACATTTATCATTTGACACATAATAGTTTTATCCGATTTTAACATAATTGCTTTCTATAAAACATACCTATGATCTAGATTAAAAATATAATTATAATACCTTTTATATAAAAAACATTTTAAAAACAATAATATTTATAAAAAATAAAAACTTATTTAATATTTTCTTCTGTTTTTTTATAAAAAAAATAAAATAGAGTATTTTCCTATCCTAATTATGAAAATTATAGAATAAACTTTAATAGAGTATTTGCTAAAAAAATTTATTAAACATATATTTACGAGGTAATAATTACACTAATTATACTATTTAATATCATAGATATTTTTAAAATAAAATTTATATTTAAAAGTAATATGATTAATTTAATTACTTTTCTTAATCTTATTGATTTAATCATTAATTTCTTATTAAAAAAATTCATAACGAGTGATATTAAACATTTGAAGCAGAATCATTAATTATACCAATTTGGACCATATATATCGCAAAACTGAAATATTCAGGACAAATAACAACTTACCCCAATTTATCATAGACATTACACTAATAAATATCTACGTGCAATTAATGCACTAATAAATCAGCTTCACACTAGTGCCAGCGGTGATTGACAAAGAATTCAATGTGCAGTATTGTTAGTTTTGTTGATAGTCCTTTTAATTTCTTGTGTTGAGAAAATGATAATTTATCTATAGTGAATTTACATATATCATGTTAGTCTCAATAAATATTACATCTTGATTTGATAATACATATGCATATTTTAAATTTAACTTATTAAAAATAAAAAATACGTAAAATAATAAAGTAAATTTTATTCATCGTTATTTTAAATTTAAGTATTTTATAAGTATAATTAACTTTAAATCAATAATAAATATTTTTTTATCACTTTATACATCTTAAGTTAAATCTAACTGATTTTATTCAATAAAAAAAATAACAAATGGATCACTAGGAACATTTCTTATCAAAATATATGTTAAAGGCTGTGAATCATTAAATTAATTCATATATTAAT